AGCTTTTATTTAATTCCACAGCCAGAGTAAGTTTCTTAAAATTATCAGACTTATCAAAAATACTAGCAAATTGCCCATCAAGCATGATGGGGGCAGGGCAGACAGGGACAGAGGCCTGCGTCACCCCATCCCCCCGCTTCGGGTCAGGGTCCAGCTTTCCCCCTTCCTCCCCATCCCTTCCACCCCAGGATCTAATATATAACATCAAAGGAGGAATTCTCCCCCTGCCACAGTTCCTATGTGTCACTGAAACAGCAACCCACAGCCATAAAAGCCCCTTGGCTGGTCAAGGGTAAGGAGAAAAATGACCTCATTTCACCACTGAAGAGGACACTGCCTAAGTAGGCCCTCTTTGTCTTGCTTCCCCCTTTGCCTTCTTGAAGATGCAACACACAGGTCTCACCCTGGACTTCTAGCCCTTATGACTGAAAAATGTATCCAGCTGTAAGGCAACTGTAACCAACACAGCACAGTCTGTCTGAATCTGCAGGCAGCCTGAAAGAACACTGCTGAGAGGGGTTAACTGCTATGGCCATCCCGAGAAGACCAGACATTTGAAGCCTGGTGGACGGTGCACACTTGGTGAACAGCAGTTTCCCTGATGAGTGTTCCCCTGGCAGCTCCAAATGCCTCTTCAATGCAAAAGTCCCCACCACACTTAAGAGTCTCAATGTGAGGTCAGCCAAAAGCAAAGAGTGAATAACAAACACAGGAGTGAACAGGAAAAAGGGCTCTGGCTACTGTGTTATTTGTGGTGTCTAAGGGCTCGTCCACACATGCATTTTACACCAATGGAAGCCCAGCTGTGTTGATGTAACAAGTCAGTGCCAATGTGCTACAGCTCCTTCCTTTGCTGTAACTGGTTTATCACTGTGGAGAGTTTTACTCCTGTTGGGATCAGGAATACTTTTGCACTGGAGTGAGTTACAGGGTAGTGATGCTACTGTGTTCCAGTGGAGATCCTCCAGCTGCCTTCCCACACTGCTTTGGGCCACACCACACCCACCTCTGCTGCTCCGGGGTCACAGTGAATCCAGACCTCACTCTATTAACCTGCAGCTGCCACCGGCTTTCCAGTACCCTGAACCAGAGTGTCATGGATGGCAGGGACCTGGCTGCAGAATTTCAGCTCGTTCTTGCTGACACAGCAGAGCCACAGCCTGGAGGGAAGAACTTTCCTTCTAGCTACAAAGCCTACAATCTCCTGATTGCAGCAGCCCTTCCCAGCAACAAGCCAAGCCTCTGTAGATGACACACTCATTCAGGGACTAAGGCCACATCCAAACTAAGCCCCAATGCTAGTGGTACAGACCCCAGCATACACAGGCAAAACTCCTATCATCCATGCCCTTTACTGGTTCAACTTACCCTGTTTTCCACCAGCTCCACGGGTGCTTAAAGCAGCTCTGCACATCTGCATTAGCCCCTGGCACAGCTGCCAATCGATAGCTGTAACTGGGATACAGCCTTAATGTATATGAGGCCTAAACAGAAATGCAAGTTCCAGGTTTGACCTCAGGGTTTGCTGATCCTCTTCCTGGAAGTGCAGGCTCCTTCAGTGAAGAGGGGAGTCAAACTTCATTCACCTCTGGAGCTCCAGGGAAAGCTGAGACTATGGTTTTAAAGGGTACAGGCTCTGTGTCTGGCTGTATAGTGGCCCTGTAACATATAACATTGTTCCCAGCCACCCCCCTCCCCTGGGACTTGCAGCCTACACTAAACCTAAAGAATGGCATAAATAAATCTCTGTAACAAAGGGGAGCTAATATCACTAATGTAACAGCTCCCTCCTTTCCCCACTGGGAGGAACTTGTCTAGCAGACAGGTTAACCCTGTTAAATAAAGATCCCAGGCAGTAGGCCTGTGCGAATAGGGAAGTGTTCAATTCAGATTTGGATTCCGCCAATTCAGAGGACAGTGATTCAATTCGGAGATTTGGATCACTGTCCCAAATCGATTCGGCTGAATTGACTTCGTAAAATTTAGCACCGATTCAGAGAGATTCAGTGATTCAGCCAAAGACTAATGGAGAATCACTGAAATACCCATAACTTTGTCATTTTTTGGCAGATTTGGATGAAAACAGCAGGGACGGTAGCCCCTTCTAAGGGCACAAGGCCTGCCAAGTTTCAAGGAGATAGGTGCAGAGGTTTCTGGGAAACTGCACCTGAAACTGTTGAAAGCAAAACTCGTGATGTGACTGTCTGTGTGTGTTAAGGCACAGCAGGATGAAAATTTGCAGGGATGGTAGTTGTTTCTATGTCCCTCCCCCAGAGCACTGTGATTGGAAGAGGACCCCAGGGGGTCCCAGTCCTTCCCTCCACGGCAGGAGCATGAGTGGCCCCATTTGCCTCCTTTCCCTTCCCTTCCTCTCCCCTCCGCCAGCCTTGCTGCCATAGCTTCCTAGCAGTGGCTCCAAGCCCCACTTCCTATGGGCAGCAGCGCCAAGGTGAGGTTAGGGGAGTGGTTCTCGACCGGCCCAGGGCCCATGAGTTTGTCTGCATAGGGCCCACTAAAGGGTTAATCCAGCCTTGTCTACTATCTCAGGACACAGACAAGTCCTTAAAACACTGATGCCAAAGGCCTGTGCAGCACTCATGTAACCCTGGCCTTCCAGTCCTCTCCCCAGATGGATATGGACCCAGCAGTCATTGGTGGGGCAAGGCAAAGAAGGTAGAAGTCACAGCTCCAAGTTGCCAGGGTGGGGCAAGCACTTGTATCATTTGTTTTCCTGGTGGTGTTGAGGTTGCACTCTTATGCATTTGAGCAGTATATCTGTGCTTTAATCTAGTTTTGTGGGGAAATAGAATACATAGGGATAGTGAGCTTGGATGCACACTCACACAAACCTGTCCATCTCTGCCTGTGGGATGCACATATAGAAGCCACAGCTCTGATCCTCCAATAGGATCTATCAGCTCTGATCCTCCAATGGGATCCATAGGCCCAGAAACAATCCTGGTGGCTAAAAAAGGGCTCCCTGCAGCCAGATTTGTTAGCTTGACCCTTGTATTGTGCAAACCAGGCTTATCAATATGTATAATTATATTTAGTAGTTATATGTTACATGCCTGCACTAGTACCTGGAACATACACACACAAAAATGTACACACACCTGTCTGCCTATGGTGTATAGATGGAGTGTGAGTCATCAGTCACCTGATGTACCATGCTCATGCCTCACTCTTTGATACCTGTCTCTGGGCAGTGACTGAACTCAAGCACTGTTTCCCTTTTTCTCTTGCCTGCATCTCTCCAGGAGGAGGAGATTGTCCGTGAGAGCCGTTTTTACTTCCGTGGCTATGGCCTCGGCCACTGTCTACAGGTGAAAGATGGAGGTGCCATAGAGGGTCCCAGCATCTACAGCCCTCCTCCCCCAACTCCACTCCTGAGGGAGGGAGAGACAATCCGTAGGCGCTACACTGACAGAGCCAAGCGGATCGATACCATCTCACGAGCTGTCTTCCCCTTTGCCTTCCTGGTATTTAACATCTTCTACTGGATCATCTACAAAGTGCTGCGGTCTGAGGACATCCACCAGGCACCCTGATGATGGAGGAGGAAAGACACTAGACATGGAAGCTGCCCCCTCTTTTTTGTCTTGCGCTCACATTGCTGTGTGGGCTGACCCCTTCCCCCCAGTGCCTGTCAGGACTCAAATAGCTTTGCCTGCACCTTGGTTCTCTCTGCCCCAGAACTCCCAGGACCAGCTGAGAAACTTGATCTGCCCTTCCAACCTGGATATACCACATCTACCAATACCCCAGCATGGTGTTAGGAGTCACTGCACCACTAGAAGCAATGTCCTGCATAACCTAGACATGCTGTATCCCCAACACCCAGCATGGAGTTGTGAGGGCTCTACGCTGCAGTCATTCATAACCGGGACATGCTCCATCCTTCTCTGCAGTGCAGTGTCCTGGGAGCCATGCTACTGCCTTCCATTGCCGAGACATGTTCAGTCGACCAACACTTAATCAGCATGGTGCAATAATGGGGGATGCTTCACTGCTGGCAGCACTGTCATTCTTACATCCAACACCTTCCATCTTTCCAGTGCCTCAGCATGGCATGGGAGCTGCTTTGCTTCTGTGCTGCACAGTCTGAAAGTGTGCCATCTCATGACACTACCCAAGTGAACAGACAGAGCCACTATCCTCCATAACTCAAACGTGCTCAGCCCCTAAAGCTCCACCTGGGTGAAGGGGAGGCACTGTGATGCCAGAGGTGCCATAACATGCACATGGCACTTCTGCCAGTGGCCTAGCATGATGCAAGTGGGCCCTGTGTTGCTGGAAGCATTGTGCCCTGTATGCCTTCCACCTTCTCCACCTGGCAGCAACCTAGCATGGCAGTCGGTGGTGCTGTATTGCTACGAGTATTAAAGAGATCTTGAGCACTTCTTACCCAACTGGCAAATACCATCATCCATTTGCGCTTGTAAACCAGGGCAAACAGCAGTGTAGCAATGAACACAAAAGGGTCAGACAACTTTTCCTCAAGTATTTTTTACCCAGAACTGTCTATCATTTAAAGAACTTTCTCCTATTAATAATAATCTCTTCTAAAGTCCTTGGCAATCTTGTCTCCTTACTGTTTCCCTTGGTTCTGCATGGCCATGGGACAGAGGCACTCACTGGGTTGAACCCCTCGATAGCATTTCCAGCTTGAGGGCAAAACACATGGCCTTCCCCAGAAGGGCTGAGGAGATGAAGTCGGAAGGTAGAATGGCTGCTAGGCTGAGAACACTGAATCTCAGCCTGCTCTGGAGAAGGTTCATTGTAAAGGAGAAGGCATCACTGGCCTGTCCCAGGGGCCATTTTTTTATTCTTTCCTTATTCCATGAGGTCTCCTCATTCTCTAGCCAATTCATTCCTCTCCTTCCCCAGGCGCTCTCTCCCAATGATAAAGCAAGCATCAAGGCTTGTACCTTATATTGAGCCCATACATTGACCAGGTGCAAAGTGGAGGACAAGGTTAAAACAGTAGGAATAGATAATGGCCCAGTCCTGTAACTGGGGAACAGTCACTGGCTGCAGGGGGAATTAGTGGTGCTCACTGCCACAAGGGATGTGCGATAACTGTTTGCTACTGGCTCTGAGGGGGTGATGGGGCTTCTTGTCAAATTCCAGAGAGAAATGGGTCTCTGGACAGTGGCACCTATGGTCTCTTTTGAGGAGCTGCCATGAAAGGTGGTGAGATCAGGATGGATTCTTCTGGGGTTGGAATAGGTGAAGGCATTTTTCCACCCTAAAGGGAGGATAGGAGAAGGAAGGACTGGCTTTGCCCATCATCTCTCATTCCCCGTATGCTTTTTCCTCTTCAACCCCACTCAGATACCTGGATGATTCTTCATAGAGCCAAATTCAGCCCTGGGATTTCCCTACTCCAATCTGAGAAGTTACATTAAGGGTGAATTTGGACTGCTTTATCAAGTAAATTGGGTTTTAAACCTTAACCTTTAGGATTCTAATGATTTGGTGGAGAACAGGCCCAAAGTAGCTTGGAAAAATCCACTCCTTGCCCTGAGAAATAAAAGCAACAGGAAACATTCTGTATAGCTGGGTCCTATAACAAGTGAATAGCTGTTTCTGCTCTCACTCTGGTGTTTTGGGCTGTCTCACTCCCTCTAGGCCAGACAGAGCACAGCACCTGCAGAGTGCAGGTGAGGGAACAGGGAATTGCCCAGTAGATAAAGGAAAACTGGCAGATGAAGAAATGGTCCCAGAAGCCTGTTACAAAAAAGTGCAAGTCACAGCTCAGCAAGGGGCTGGTGTCCCTTTAAATCTTGGCATGCCAGGGACAGAGCACCTGGCCCTGCAAAGGGGGCAGGGCCTTGGCACACTGCACAGTGCCTTTCTTGTTGTTGATCTGGTCCAGATGGGCAAGCAGCACAAACCCGCCCTGTTGAGGGACTTCAAGAACAATGCCCCAGGGACAGTAATAGCCGAACAAGGGAGTCTGTCTGACTGGAGCAAGGCTGGTGCCAGCACAGTACCCCAGCCACCACTGACACAGAATCAGAAAGACCCACCAGGAACACAGGAGGGCAGCATTGCTGGTCAGGAAGACAAGGGGCATAAAGCAGCTCTCTCTGCTATGGTCAGAAGCTCTAGCTCCCTACTGAAGTCTGATGCTGAGCATTAGGTACTCCAGCTTCCATGGTGATGGGCAGCATCATAAAAACCACAAGAGAAAGAGAGAGACAGAGAGAGAGTTCTCTCATATCTTACCCACTAAGTTTAGATGCCTAAATAATATCAAAATAAAGACATTAGGGTTTAACCTGGGGAATCTTCTCAGCACTTCCCAGGATTGGGCTGAAACAGAGTACAGTACTTTGTTTTAACGTCCCATACAAATACCAGGTAGTGAATTCAACCTCATACCCATCCTTTGGCTTCAGTTGGTAGACAAAAATTACTGTCCCCATGTTACAGACAGAGAAACCAAGGCAGAAATGATTTATTCAAGGGAGTTGTGGCTGGATCTAAGGTTCCTTGATGACAGACCAATCTATGTCAGAACTTCATTCAGCCACAAGATGAGTCAAACTCTGTCCTGACCTTTTCCACATGCTACTTAGGTTTACTGTATATTTCTCTCCTCCCATCTTGTCTTGCTGTCCATCCTGAATCCCAGTAGATAGGCTTGGCTTGACCACATTCTCACATTACTATTTACAGCCTTTCTTTCTTGCCCAATGGAAAAGGGCAAAACTGGAAGAGAAAGAAATGGGGTGTTTGCTGTCCTGGAAGCCTGTTACAAACAGGCTTTGAGGTCATAGGAAGAGATAAACCAGCTGATGTGGCATCACTTTCTCTGTACTACAACACTGCTAACTTTTTTTCATGGTACCGATGACATTACAGGCACCAGAGGTAAATAAACGGTATGGCGACTATAGATACTTCAAGTTTTAAAATGACGGATTTTTAAACAGCCTTGATCTTCCTATACAAATAAAATATTTCTGGGTTTTTTTGTTAATATTTATAGTGTTATTTTTAGTGAACAGGCTTTATTTTAACATCTACTCAACCTTGCCCATGTACCTGCTCCTACTTTTAAAATGAGACAATGACATGGAAAAGTCTTCTCCAGCATCTCTGGTCCCTAGTGCAGATCTGAGAGCTAGAAAAGCATCTCCTAGAGCACATGCTTTCTATCCTACCAAAGGACCCCAGAACCTGCCATAGAGAAACCAACCTTTCTTATGGTCAGAGAATTTGCTGTCCTTCTTCTTTCAAACCTTGATATCCTCATTCACTCTTCCATCCAAAGACTCCAGCAGTGCTGTGATAGGAACTCTCTCCCTTGACATAGGAGAAAAGTCAACCAAAATAATCCTTCAGTTTTCCACTGTCTGCTGCATATCCTTGTCCCTTTACTGCTCACAGATAATGACATCCCCCTTTAGCTCAGATAGTAGAGGAGTTGGCTTTTGGAAGCTCTTCATTCCACTGGGACTGTGATGCCCCTGTTCAGCACAGCAAGAATCTAGGGACTCTAAGTGGTAACAAAACAGTTACAACATGCATCGTATTTTTAGTCTGAAGGTATCAGACAGACTCTGCTCCAAGACCATTAGGAAACAGAGGCTTCACTAAGAGCTGTTCAGAATCAGACCCTCAGGAAATGCTGCATGGTCTTAGATTTCAGGTAGGATCTCACTCTGATGAGGTTCCTCCGATACTGGCCAACACAGGCGAACATGCCATTCATAGCCTGGCAAGGAGGTTTGCTGTGATTGTCTAAACTAAATGAACAGAGCTTAGCCATTTCTAAAAGGGAAACTTCTTTACGCAGGCTTTTCCTATTCTGAAGACAGGATGCTGTCTGAGAAATGCCTGCCAAAGGTGTGGGGGGTGTGATTTGGTTTTGGGGTTGTAGTTGAAAAGACTGCAGTGCCTAGTCTTTTCATAGCAACCCTGTTTTTCAGGCTTGTGACCCCACCTCTGATCAGAGCCCGGCTGCCATACCTGAATTTCTATGGGG